CTACACTAAGTTAAAAACAAGTTGCGACAAGCTGCAAACTGCTCCTGAAGCGAGTTAGTAAAAGTACCAGCAATTCACATAACCAAGCTCCAAGAAGTCACAGCGACACTGTGCTCTGTCAGGAATGTGATCCAAAAAAGCTGGCAGTTACATACTCGTTAGTAAATGTCTGTTTCATGAGGCAGCATATATACAAGATAATATTACCTTAAGTGACCTGAAAGTTGTAATGGAGAAAAGGTGAGCAAGCCTCTCCTCTCCCACCTCCTCCCCCCTTTCAGCTTGCTTTCCCAACTGCCTCCTGAGATTATAATCCTACACGGGACTTTTGTTTTCCTAGGCAGGCGCTTAAGAAGCAAAACCAATCCTCTTCTCAGTGCTCTCTGTCAGGACGTTGGATATTACCGGATTGAAACCAACACATACAGGCTGCATTTGCGTATTAACTTTCTCCGAAGAAGGCGTTCCCGAAGGTGAACGTGTGTCTCATCAACCAGCTACAGCAGTGCAATCGTACGAAGCTACCCGGAGAAGAGCATGAAACTGGGCCGAGCACAACTGGCAAGCTGTGTTAGCGTTTGGTTCTCTTGCATACCTATGCTGAAAGTGATACAGTTTACAAAAAATTAAGTGCATGTGTGCACATACACAACTTTTAAACAAATAAACTTGGCTTTTCTCCATAGGGGACAAGGAAAGGGAAGCAATTAAATTGCAAGTCTTTAGTGCTTATTAATTATTTTTAAGTTCTAATCCTAGTCTGCAACGTTGCTCTCAAGTCCACACACTTGGTGGGCATAAAATCGGCCAAGCTAAAACAACCATTAAAAGTGCTGCTATTTATATATAGCTATATATATTTTCTAGAGCAGACTCATAAGCCATCATGCAAACCAGAAAATTCCAGATGCCTGCTCTTAATTATGATCTGCAGCTTGCTTTCTGCATTTAAAAAAAAAAAAAAAAAGGTCAATATTGCACATTGTCATTTTAAGAGCCGCTGGCACAGGAACTTTATCCTGCATCTGCTGATGTCTAAAACGCGAAGCAGTATCGTGCCTCTGGCGTCACCGCACAGGAAGACAGTTCGCTACGCGAGCTCACTCCCTGCAATCTCCACCTAAAGACAGGCATACTCTTTTCTCCCACCGGGCAGGGGACTTTCTGGATGAACAATGCCCAAAAAGCAACTCCATTACACCCACCTGGCTCGGGCGTCATGTCAGGAACATACTAAGTGGTTTACATATTTCAACGCTAGAATACAGAAAGATAACGTCGCTGCAGTAAATTAAGTCTTGGGTATTGTCATACGCTTTAAAGTGAATTCAGAGTCTGCAAAAGTGGCAAAAGGGAAACTCTGGAAAGCTCGAGTTCACCACTTATCCGTAAGACAGGTGCAATATATACAGCGTACACTGTCAGCTCCTCTTGCTGTAAAGGTGCAATCTTCCTCTGCTCATTAAAACTTTGAAGACAGCCAGCGAGGATGCCAAAGGAAAGAGATGGTCTCCATCTGTTTTCTAGTGGGCATTTTATGGAGATTATCTTACGTCACCAACTCAACGTACGCGGTAGCAAACAGAAGTTGCTGCCTGACATGAGATGCCCGAGTGGAAGGGCACGCCGCCTAGCACCAACGGACCGAGACATCCAGGCTCTGAGGGGCTGTGAGAGGAGAGCCTCTCCTCTTTCATTCCTCAGTTCTCTTAAAAGGCCTCCTGAGGTGTAAAAATCTAACTACAAATTTCATTTCATCAGTGTTTCAAATGGCTCTGGAAACTAATCTTGTATTAATCCATACGCACAGCCGCCAAGAAAAGCAATGCGAGCGCAAATTTACAATAAGGTTGATACACCGTGGTACCCCTCTCAGCTAGCTGCACACACTCAGCCTAACTTATTTTGGGTCTGAGTGCTTCCTCAAATAAAAAAAGCAATAGATCTAAGCAAAGCTTGAGATAAGAGCTGGTAGAAGAGGAGCTTCTCCACTTCAACTGTGGGAAAAGAGCAGTAACGTTAATGCTCAGACGTTAGTGTTCTCACCCACCGTTTGGGTCTGAAACTCTAGCATCAGGCAGCGACCTCACCAAATGCAGACACACACTCAAAACCTCATGTAAAATCCACCGTCCTGCTAATCTTCTAGCAGTGAGATTACAGGCTTTGTAACAGGTCTCTGATACAAGAAATGTTTGGACTTCAGCATTCAAACTTTCTGAGAACTGAAAGGAACTAATCCCACCGTTCGTCTCCAGACCTTGCCTCCTCACCGAAGGGAGGGCAGGGAAGCATCCAGAAGCTATCCAGACCACTTCTCCGAGGGGCTGGACTGTCGGTATAAAATGCCATTCAAAAATTGTCCGTGTCTCAGTAACACAATCATTGAATATTCCTTGAAAATTTCTCCCTGCAAAAAGACAAGATGTTTTTACAGCAGAAAAGACGCGGGCTGTTTTGTTGCTGCAGAAGTTATCAGGCCCCAAGGCAAAGCCGATGCACACACCCCTTTCCCAAGCATTTCCTGGAATGCCAGCTTCGATCACGATTAGATTTCTTCTTGCCAAGCACAGGAAGCAGAAGAATAGAGGGTTTTTCCAAGAGTCCCAGAGAAAAGACTTCTCTGATACCGTTTACTGCAATCAGTGCAGACTCAGTTACTGCAACACCAACCGAAACTGCCTTTAACCATAGCGAAGTCTTCCAAACCAAGGAGGGAAGAGACGAGACGGAGCTTCAGCTCCTATTAAGGCGTTTGCATATACATTCCCAACCTGGGTCTTCAAAAAAGGGAATTTTGCAAAAAAAGGCATTTTATTTGGGAATGGCAAAAACTATGATTGTTGATAATCTCTGTGGAATTATAAATTGCTCATTTAAAAAAACATGGTTAAATATAAGTGTCATATCTTTCCCTTGCTTGCCAATATGTCCTTTCCATGAGTTCGTGTGCTATGTCTTCTGGAGATCAGGGGAAAATGGGCCAGGGGTAGAGGGTCCATCCAGTCCAGACAGAGTAAATGGGCCATGACTGTTCAGCACTGATGGAAACTAAGAGACAAAACAAAAATTATTAGGGAAGAGGCCATTTTAATTTACTGTTCCTCTCATACCTGTGCATGTAGAAGCTCCCCCAGGGAAAAAAAAGAACAAATACAAACCCAAAACACAACAACAAAAAAAACACCCAAAACTTTCAAAGAATCTTCTTGGCTTCCCCCAGGTAATTTACTTTTTAAATGCCACCACATCACAGACTGCACCAATCCAGCTATCACAACCAGTGCCGCCAGGAGGACCCAGTCTGTAACCTCTGCGCTGAGCTCCGCCTATGTCCTAAACTAATAAGTGACTTTAAAACAGGTTGTTGGGAAACCGGGGTCTAAATTGTTCCTCAGTTAATTATCAGCTATTTATAGAGAAAAACGCCCAATGCATTTTCAGACCTACTTGTTTATTCCCTATCCTCACGGTACATAGAAGCTACTTCCTTCATCTCCATGGAGATGACAGATATAAACCCAAAAGACAACTAGTTAAATTTTACCCTTTGCCTAAGCAGACTCGGGCAACAGATGTGGTTATTCCAGTTCCAAAGCGGAAGGTGAAGGAAGAGCATGAGTGATTACAATTAAAGGTTTGGTTTTTTTTTTAATATAGGGGATTTTTTTTCTTATATATTAGTTAAACAAAAATATTTATTAAAAACAGCGAAGCTGAGAATTTCCAAACAACAGAAGACAGCAGAATATAGAGATCATAAAGAACTGTGCTACAGATTGCCCCAGAGATCACACACACAGTCTCCCTTCTTACTAGTGGTGAGATTTAATTAACGTCTTTCAACAGAAGCGACTGTTAACAAAACAACCAACAGAGTAGCAAAATTCAAGTTCCAGGAACATCTCAGCCAGTAAAGTTACAGGGAGGCAAGTTTTACAGAAAGGACAGACCTAAAAAAAAAATATATCTATCTCTAACTACAGCACAGACTTAATTTAATTTAATTTAAAACAGATTTAATTTAAAACATCTCTGAAATACCAACATTTACAATATACTTAGATAAAACTCGGTAAACACTAAAATTAAACACTCTCAAAAGCTAACATAGGGGATAGAAAACAGAAAGATGAGATGTATTTTGTTTCTACACCTGATATTTGGGCTAACTGATCCCTGCAGGTCTCTGAGGAAGGCACTGGCAAGAGTGGCTCCAAGAGAGAGAGTGTATTAGCACCTTGCAACCTTGCAGGACTGAGGGGAGCGACTGGGCTTAGCGTACTCCAGAAGTGAATACTGGAGAGCAAGGGACTTGGGGTCAGCAAGATGGGAGTCTGCAAAACAGAAGACGACAGTCAGCTGCGCGAAGCCTGCACCGTGAGTAACGCAGAGCACATGTAAATCCAGCCGCTATCATCTCAGCTCCTACAGCTGCGGAGGGCTGGGTCCAAATTTCAGGAACTCCCATTCCCTCCTTCCGCCTCCTCCCACCTCCTTCCCCTCTCTTCAAACCCCGCAGCAGCAGCAGCAGCCATCCGCCGCTCCCTCCCCTTGCTGAGCAACTGGCCCTCTTTTCCCAACAGCTGCCAAATCCTGCTGTAACCTACAGCAAATTGGCTCCTCCTGCAATTCAGCATACAGCACCTGCAAGTGGCTTTGGAAAACTCAGTCCATGAATTTAGAAAGAGCAGACAGTGGGCACACGCGTGGTCTGGGTGACACTGACAATGTGAGCCACAACAAAAGACATTTACATCCAGCTTCTGAATATTCTGGATGTTCCAGGTTCACCGGCCAAACACTTCGAAGGGTGCCAAAAGAGCAGCTGCACTTGATTTTTTTTTTTCTGTCTTCAGCCATTGCAGTTTTCAATCAGCAGTTTCCTTACAGTTCACTCTAATTCCAATTTATTGTGGGAAAGAGATTAAATATATACAGAACAATTTAACAGCCTAGTTGGATTCAGTTCTCTTCCAAATTTTCCATGAGGCATAAAAGCTTTCCTCTCCCACACAAAGAGAACAACCAAATTAAGCAGCAGTTCTTATTGCTGTTAAGTCACAATACTCTGGTCTTAAGTAAATGGCTACTAAATGAAGCAAAAGAAAGCTGCTAAACAGACACCTCCGTGGGTCTCTATTTTTAAAGCACTTTCAGAATCAGCCCGAAGGGTAAGGGCAGGGTTTAGACTTTTTGAAATAATTCAATATCACCCTGGCAAGATTTACAAAGGAACCTGCTAGTGCTGGTTTGGGTTTTGCCTGCACACGCTGACACCGTACAGGCACGTACGGCTGACATGCCACTTGGGCACACTTTGGGGTGGAAGCTAATACCGATTATGAATAAAGTTTCTGTTTTATAGGAAAAATGGGAATGACATCCTGAGTTTCAGAACTCCAAATCCAATCTACGAACTATTCATTTTCCACCTGCCTTCCCTTACTGTTTTAAAATATACCATAACCACTATTGTTACTAAAAAAAACCAAACCAAACCAAAAAACAACAGGAAAGTAATTAGGTTACCTGAGAGAAAAGTGCTGGAGTAAGAGAAGCAGTTGGGAGAGAAGGACTCAGAATCCCCAGTGGACTTGGATCGCTGCCTGTAATGACGAGAGTAGGAGCCAACTCCAGCCCTTTGGGTTTTTTAGATCTGGAGAGGTGATTGGCAAACTCCTTCTCCAGCACAGATGAATCCTGCTCTTTGGGCTCTGGGGATTGATGCTGAAGGCTCTGAGCCTGCTCCAGCTGCTGAGAAGCCACGGACTCTATGTCCGTGTCAATGTCCAGGTCAGGATTAGAGCTCAGCGGCGGCGACGTGGGCGTGGAAGGAACTTGCAGAGTGGGAGAAACTGAGGATATGGGTGGAGTTGGGGTGAAGCTGGTGGTTAAGTTTGGCAAAGGTGCTGGAGCTTCAGGGACAGTTAACTTGGGTAGAACAAGCGTCTCCAAGGTCTGGAGAGTTTCTTCCGATTCCATGGGAAGAGAGGATGCAGTCGAAGTGGCAGAAGCAGTGGAAGTGGCAGGGACCGCTGAAGTGGTAGAGACCAGGGGGACAGATGAAGGCTTTTTGGAGGGCATGGTTACAAACTTGATGACAGAGGGTGTTGGATCCTGAGCAGGTTTCTTCTCGGTCAGTTTCTCGGCTGGATTCTCAATCTTGATGGACCTGAAGAGTTTTACGCCGGAAGAGTTCAGGGAGTTCAGAGTAAAAGAGGAGTACAAGCCTGAGTGGATATAGTCATTGCGGCTGGAGGATTTAGCACATGACTGAGACTTCTCCTTCCCACAGTTTTCCACATCCTTTGGAGCACTGCTAACTTCCGCAAAACCAGTCATTTCAGGGTCTCCTTCTATACGGCCCACGACAAGTGGATCCATATTTAAAATCTCCGGGTAAGAAACAAACTTGTACACAAACTTCTTACCATTCACTTTTTTAATGATATTCTGTGGGTAAGAAGATATATATATTTAGGCCTTCTTCAGATTAATTTTCTTCCTACAAACACTGCCTAAAATAGACTGAGGAATTAGATAGTCTGTAGTCTTTCATCAAAAATTGCTTCTTTTTTCTTTTTTAAAAACACACTGCAATTCTTGCAATCCAGTTATGCTCCCAAAGTATCATTTCCAGAGCTCACAGACAAAACACTAAAACAGGTGAGCTTAACCTGACATTAAATATACTAACAACAGCCTTAGAACTGCCAAGCAATTCTGTTGAACATGTTTTAAAACATCAGCTAAGAAACAAAAAAATACCCATTGCCCCAGTCAAAGATCACTGACCTGGGTACAGTAAGTGTAATCTAACAGGAGAACCTGCAGAATTAAGGCTTACAGGTTTGCAGAACTGAGAGCTAATACTTCAAATCAAACCACCTTTATTCTTAATAAGATGATTATAAAAGAAAATAAGTAGCTGAACTAGTCAGCAGAATGTAGGCTAATCAGCTATTTCAACACCACAAAATTGCATATGTCGAACTTGTTTTGCTCCTAAGTGAAATGCCACACACAGTTTGGACCTACGAAGATTCTTATTTATCGTACAATTGTTATTACTGAGACCTCTCAGTACAAAGCCAGATTTGTGCTACGCAAAAATAAACTCCAAGCAACATACCACCACTGACAGGCTCCTCAGAAACTGTGTTTTATTTTTTATCTCATACACTCACACAATAACAGTTGTGGGACAAATGGCTTCTTGAAACGAAGGTAAGACTCCCACACTGTGGTTCTAGCTCACCTTTTTGACACTACCTGTGCGCTAATGAAAGATTCCTGCAAATCGTTAGAAGACATTAGCTAAACAAGAGAAGCATCTTACTCTCCCGGACTAAACTCACTGACCACATTAGAGGTGCAATTCTGAATACACGGAGAAAAAGAAAAATACTTTGGGCTGCTTCACTGGAAATCCTTATTTTGATAGCCCCTTCGTAGAGACAATTGCAGCAAAGATCCCAAGGTGGTGCAATATTCACAATCTCCATCACCATAATCACTTTGTTGCTTAAACTGGAGTGTTGAGGATTTTAACCCCTGCTGGGGTGCATATTTTTGGAAGGGGGATTAGTATTCAATGACAAATTCGTATTAGCAAAGACATAAATCAAAGAAGATAACATTTTGCACAAAGCTATCCAGAACCTTATAAAATAACCACTGGGGAGGAAATGCAGCACAATGATAAACAAAAGAAAAAAGCCCTCGAAGCATAACCTAGTACACCTTACTTGAGTCTGGGAGACAGAAGTGACACCTATCCCCTTGAAGAGAACAAAAAAGGAAACAAAGCTCATTAGGCAGAAGCTGGTAAGATGGATAAGGATTTGAGGTGGATTTACGGACTTTGTTACCTTCACATAATAGTATCTGAGAGCACGGCTGAGTTTATCATAGTTCATACTGGGCTTGTTCTTGCGGATTCCCCAGAGTCTGGCCACCTCCTCTGCCTGCAGCAGTTTGAACTCCCCGTCGTTGGAGGTCCAACAGATGATATTCTTGTTCTGAGGCTCTTGGAGGAGTTGGAGGAGGAACTGCCACAGAGTGATAGCACTGTCCATAGCAGTAAGCTGAAATTCAGAAAGGCAGATAAGAGGCAACAGATTAGCAACAGCTCATTTTCTTCGTCTCCCTAGAAGGGGGTAATGGAGCAGAGATGTTATTTCCAAAGCCAGCAAGAGTAAAAATTATTAGTCACCAGTCATGAAAGATGTTCCCTGCAGAACAGAGAGGCTGAGAGCCAACTGCTGTCGTCTCCTCCCACATGTCAGTACTTTTCACATGGGTTATATTTAGCCTCATTTAACTAAATCAGGTCACTTTGGGTAAGTTGCAATGAGTCACTATCCAAAAAAAATTTTTCTAAGTTGTTCCATGGTCACCCACTCTGCCTTGTACTGCTTGATGAGAAACAGCTCAGGTGCACCCAGGTAAAAATCAAACCACCCACTCGCCTCCTCCTTTCCTTACCTGCACCCACCTCCACCCTCGCTATCTTTAAGGAAACAGATTGCAGATCAAGTAACTGCTTAAGTTACCTGAAGATGCCACAATGCAGAACAACGCAATTTTCCTTCAGTTCCCATTTTTACTGCCTCTTTGTAAGCAGCCTGCTCAATCAACCCCCAGCCTCCTCTCTTTCAAAACTCTGCTCTTTTCCAAATTTCATCCCTGTCTTTTCTAAGAGAATAAACAAGAACGTAAGTAAAACGATTTCAAACGCTGCCTTTGCTTTTCTTTTGATTCCTGTCATGTCTTACCTACATCAGTCATTTATCCTGAGACCTTCTAGGCCTAGTATCTGCCAGTTAATTCACGCACTTCCAGCCCGGTTTTCTAGCACTGAAGCTGTCGATGTATAAATTCATCAAGGACATACAAGGCAGAAGAGGTGACGTTTTTCCTTGACCGTACCTGACCACATGAAACAGTACTTCCACAGAGATTTTTAGGCAGAATACTAATAATCCCGTCTGCACAAGGAAAGTATAAGACATACTGTGAATTAAACCAGGTAAAATTATATTAATTCAGTATCCCATACAGATTCTCTTATTCCAGAACAGAATGGCTTCTATCAATGCAGCTTAAACTTCTTCCAATGAAATAAAAACAAACCCAGCCACTGTGGAATAAGAACCATCATGATGAATTACACTAAAAATGTTTTGATGTGCGTAACTGCTGGATATTTTTTTCCCCTCTGCACAGTTAAACCACAACAAAGGCAAACCTAAAGAGTAGAGGGGTTTCCATCTGGGTGCATCTGCAGCCTGAGTGACTAAACGCTATCCACAAGCAGAAGCTACAAAACAGAGGCATCAAGTCCAACTTCAGCAGGCAGGACTCACGCCCGTATTGTTTGATGTCCGTGTACACGCAGGGATAAGTTTAAGATTCGTTGGGGACTGCCAGTTCATCTTTGTTACCAAAGCCTTTTATTCCAATCTCATTACTGCCCAGCACTTATCCAGCCCTATATAAGGAAGAGAACAGTCTACATGCCAGAGCTTCAGAATTTAGCCAGCCCTGTAAAAGGATTACTGCTGACAGTTTACACAGGACTACACATTCTTACTGAAATAAGGTGCCCTAGGGCAGGTACTTTTCTGGGCACAGCCCACTGCATTTAACCTATTTTTAAGAATACCTGCCTAATGGCACGCTTACGTGACTACACAGGGATGCTACATTGATCAAGTCAGTTAAATTGCTGCAATTACAAGGAACAATCTCAAAATGAAGGACACCCACACCACCTTGTTATGCTGGCCTAAGGTGCTTTCCTTGTTAATTACTGTATGCATACAGCTCCATGCTTGCCCAAATTAATTGCTTGGTACTCTAAGAAAATATCAGCTGCTGAACACTCTGCTTTGAGACTCTTCCCACATTGCACCCTGGCATGCCAGCTGAACCGTACGGGAACTCCGGGCCAGGCAACCACATTAAAACTCTTCCAGGACTTCTCCTCCAACTTGTATTCCCATTTGCCAATAACATTTCATATCTGCCTACTGGCAACGCAGAGGACGTGCACGCTGCGGAGCATCGCAAGCGGAGCCTCATTATCCTGTCAGGATGATGCACATGCATGCGGTGTTGTGTAGACATAAGGACTTGATTCTACCGTTCTGCAGAGCTGTCAATACTAGTGATATGTGTTAACAGAGAAAGAGCAGGAAAATGAAGTTGAGTGATTATTCCCACGCTACATTTATCTACAGCACTTTCAAAACCCATAAGCAGCACTGCACCAAATAGCGCTGACTGATGCAACGGGAGGCAATCACGTAGAAATTAGATTAGCAGCAGAATTTCAGAGCGGCAAAGGCTTTTTTTTCTCCTCCTAAAAATTCATGCAGATATCATCCCAGAATTTAAATGCTATTATTTCACTGGGCTGCTTCCCTTCAGTAAGAAGTACCTTGCCATTATCTCCAAGCCCACCAACCTCTACCACAGCCCAGCGTTACTGCCTAGGTCAGGGCTGGCTTTGAATCCAGCTGGAGACACACAATGCCGACAGACTGGCACTCTGACAGCACGGAGTTCAGCAATGCAGAGTACACATGGAGTGACCGAAATAACGGAAGAAACAAGATTTAAAAAAACAAAACAAAACAAAACAAAACAATCACCTTTCCCAGTGATGAGCCACGTTGTTCTGAGGAGCATTTACCAAAATAAAAAAAGAGTTCATGCTGCCTAAACCCCAAATACTGCAGCTTTCCAGCTGGAAGGATCCTTCTCCCAGGGGCAGAGTTACAGACTGTACTGGAGTGTCAGATTGATCAGGTTAGTACTGATGTTTCTGGCATTTACAGGCTTTAGGGTTGTCATGATTCTGTCCATCATACGGAGGATACACTGCCCAGCCTCAGCACCCTCTACTTTAAAAAAGTATTATGTTAGACACATTAAAAACGAGGTGGAGGAGTTTTGCTTTTTCCTTGGCTGTCGTAGAACAGGAGCAGAGCGCACTTTGGAATTGTTAATGGATAGGTTATATTGCATATGAGAGTATGAACCTCCCTTTATTAAGTATTTATTGCGCGCATCTACAGGAAACAACGGAGAGATACCTCAGTGGAACTGGGAGTACAGAGTTTTTCTGAAGATTATATACAGACAAAGGGAAGGCCAGAAAATAACCCTCCAAATCGGTCAAAGCAATGGGATCACAGGTGGATCTTGCCCCTTCAGAGCCCAGAAGTAAGCTGTAACTGGGAAAGGATAACACGTATACGGGAGACAACGTTGTATTATGAATCAAGACATCTCATTTAACTTTTTTATTAAAGTTGCTTTGAAACGGCATAAGAATACATCAAAGAACTGTTGCTTCTTCAGGAAAAAGCAGAATAAAAAAACATCACACAAGATGTAAAATTAAAACCAGTACAGGCGAGATGAGCACGTCTCTTTGTTTACGAAGAACCAACTAGCACATTAAAAAGGTTCTTCCTTCTTCAGCACCTGAGGCAGAAGGCGGCTGACGCCTTTCACAAGCCTTTACCTTGCAACCACAGGGACTGCGCAGCGGTTCGGGCTCCTTCTGCTATCCGTGTTTCGCAGAGCATCTTCGGCTGCTGTGCAGCAGCTGGCACGGGGGGGGACCAGCTGTTACAGAGGCTCCCGTCCACGCCACAGACATTGGCAGGGCCACGTACTCAGTGTTCCCCTCCTTCACTGACACTGGAAGGAATTCAGCAGATCCTCTTGTCCTTTTTATTCAGACATACAGCAAAACCCACACTCTCCAGAGATGTCACAGGCCCATTAGTGAGAGAAACTAAAGAAATCAGGATGAGGACAGGAACCCGCTGTCCCGCTCCTACTCTACACTAACAATGGCGAGATGTTACTTCTCTCATGATTTCTAAATAGCATTTCAGCTTCTTCCAAAACTACATCTCTCTTCATGAAAAGGCATCAATCTCCTAGCACAGCTCCCTGTCAGCACAAAAAGCCTAGTAGATGGATTGCTTTTTCTTCAAGATGAATACACCAATAATTACAAGCACACCACTGCAAACTGTCTTTTTGCTGAAGGTTATTTTCCTTATAAGAGTCCACGGAGAAACAAAAAGGTCTCATTTGAAAAGACAATGAGGGAATTAGGCAGAGGCAACACTGCTGCTTATGACGACGGCCTTTCCACTTCTGCACCATTTGAGTACAAGGAAAAAATAGTTGCTAGAGGCAGAGGGCAGTTATACTTTGTAATGAGTATGCTAAAATAGAGCACTATTATTGTCTTGAGATCTTCTCTGACGCCTACGGATGACCCTTGAAGTATACTGAGTAGCTGACAGAATTTGGCTGCAGTACTCTAAATACAAGCACTGCAAACTTGAGCTTTCTCATGTTGCTGCAGCTTCGTCTGAGGTTGCTGTAGCTTTGTTTGAGGCCTTGACTTTACAAAGCCTCGAGTTTACAAAAAACACGAGGACACGAGATATGTATCTTCCCCAGTGACTTCTCCTCATGCACCTGTGCCACAACGCGCTCCTCGCAATCCATTTGCTTACAGAGCCTCAAGGCTTTGCATCTTCTGCGGAAGGAGCGTGCGCAATCGCTGGGTGGCACAGCAGACAGGAGGAACGGTTTAGGAACTGGCATACGGTAATCTCTCCCGTGGCCAGCAGCTATACTTAACGATTGCAAAACAAACTCGAGTGTTCATCCCTTAGTGCTCAAGAAGGAGAGGGACACCTCGCGATGCCCCAGCGAGGCAGGAGCCAGCCAGGCCCTGAGAAGGCAGCAGAGGCAGGACCGGGGGGCTCTGTCTTCAAGGTCTTCTGGCAGGTTTCCTCTGCTTTGACCCAAGACCAAGAACAGCTCAAGTCATCCTTCACCTCCATTTGTTCCAACAGCCTCTTGTAAGCATCTGCAGCCTGATGACTTCTCCAGATGGACTGAATGAAGCAGTCAGGTCTACGGCCTTGTCAGAACCCACACAGAAACGAAGGACGGTGCAAAGGAAAGAAAGGATGTCACACAGGCGTTACACAGTGAGGACAAAATCATCACTACCACGTATTTAAATGGCAAGTTACAGC